TGGCTCCACAACACCAAACAACCTCTCATCTCCTCCATATAACCCTCATCTCCGACGACCAGCTCGTCGTTTCCCATCTGCGTTCCACTCAAATGCCTTCCTTGCCTGGTGCGTGATGTCCCCAATCGGCCTTCTCAGTGTATGCTCAGTCCAATCCATTTCCACTTCCTTCCACTACATATTTGTTAGATGACAGGTTCTTGGATGGTTCATTCCCAGAATGAGTTCTTTGTTGTTTATTCTTTCTCACCATCTGATCCCCATATTGAGTAACTAGCCAGCCTAGACAGTTGTCGATGTATGTCTGTAGTTTGTTGGAAATGCTTTCATAACGCGCCAACTCTGTGAACCATGCAGAAGCACTGACTTGACTGAATTGGTGTTTAGAATCCGGATGTTGTTCACGCCTTATGCTGAGTGCAGTGCGGAAGATCTGCATACTGGTTTCAGGTTAATGAGGGAAGGCCTGTCTTGCTGTCTTTCCGATCGTGGCTGGCTTTGACATCCTCGTCTGTACCTGTGTCGCCTGTAGTTGAAACAGTGCCGCCTAGATAGGTGGAAGAGACCAATTCCTTTAATTTTCTCCGGTTGGTGCTGATTAGAGTTTGTTGTTGGTTGGGTATCTTCATCACCTCTGTCTTCTCTATATTCACTTGAATTCCCGTCTTCGCTGCTCTGCTCTGCCCTCCCTTTCTGTCAATGTGTTAGTTTTCGCCTATAGATCTTCCAGTTTATGCGATATCAGACACAAGTCATCGTTGGCGAAATCCAAGTCTTCTAGGTTCTTTTCTGTGGTCCAGCGTATCCCTCTTGTCTCGCTCCTCACCGTTTGTTGCATGATCCAGTCCAGTCGACCACAATCAGGAATATCATGGGTGATAGTAGACAGCCTCGTCTTACTCCTGTCTTCATTTCAAAAGCCTTACTGGGCTTCCCATCGTGAATTACTTATTTGTGCTTTGAAGTTTATTCAGCGGTTAGATTTGTTTTACGGGGTAGGGTTGCTAGCCCTATGCCCAACCTTCCCTCTTTACCCGGGCTTAGGACTTGCCGGTAACCAGTGAACTAGTTAACCAGGTGAGGTTCAAATAGTCTTATTGATTGTTTTATCCCACATGCCACCAAAGATGATAATCAGTAACTGAGAAGTAATTATTGGCGGACTATCTAGATTTCTTTGCTTACTCGATTCTGTTGATAAAATCTGAGATTAGACCCTTGAGTATCTAGATGAAATCTCTTCTCAGCATATTATATTTTCTTATAGGATGCTTGAAGGAAACTCATGGAGAATCCTGAACCCTAGAATTTCATGTTGAGAATTACAAATACATTTAAAGAGTGGCATTACAATGTTCATAGAAGAAGCCTGTTTGATGCTTATCTACGCAGAATAACTATTGACTGTGATCACATTGAATGTTTTCAAGACAGAATTTTGACTAATTTCCCACGAAAGTACCTTTTTCACTCTGCATAGACTTAAATGCACTCAATACACAAAACACCCTGAAAGATGTATTTGTTTAAAACACTAGGCTAAATGGTACATGTGGTAGCGCTCGCTGGCGAATAGATTTGGGATGTGATTCCTGAAGTTCGAATGAGAAATCGTCACCGGTGGAGTTGACCAAGTTCAAAATGAGGAAATTTACTCAACGGCGAACTTGGACATAGGTCACGCTATATCATGAAGTGACAGAAATAGGAAATATGGACCAGTGGCTCAGTGGTAGGGTTCTATCCGTGGTAGGGTGGAGTGATGGGTGGGCTATGCTGTGGAGTCCCATAGTAGGACGAAACAGCTGTGGAGTGCCGCCAGGTTTCCAATGATCCTCTAACTACTGTCAGTCCATGATGAATTCCAGCCTAAAATCAAATGTAAAAACGGATGAAAATCCTCATTATCTCACGATATCTTAGAAGTCGATTCTTCAGAGGATGAAATCCTGTTCGACAACTCAGCCGGTATACTTTGAGTTTCTTTGGCCTTCATTTTGTTTGCCTAAATCAATATAGCTGGTACACAGTTCACAGTTAAATTAAACAGTACTTCAAGCTCAGATTTCAACTGTAATTGGGTAAAAAGTGGAAGTACTTGGACAGTATCAAGATAACTGGAACTTGATTTGACTCTTAAAGTTGAACATAAATTAGGCTACATGGTGGGAGTCAGTTAGCAGGAATTCTTGTACATATGTTTAGTGCTAGTTGACACTCATCAGCAAGACGTATCTGCAACTATGTGAAGACTGATGTTTCCTCGGTGACTTCAATTGGCATCACTCAGCGTTGAGACATAACCGTTAATCTGCTTATGCCACGACTGGCCGCCTAAATGACTCTTAATATTGAACACTGGAAAGCAGTGCACCACAGTGTCGTATCACTTCGCATAGTGGTCAGATTTCAAAACTTGGTCGACAAACCTTGAACAGTGCTAAGCACTAGCGACTTGCTAGCTACATAGGTTACCCGCTAGTGACCAACTCGTGCAGCAAACCTAAACCCCGCACAAAAGCTGACGCTGACTAGCAACGATACAATCTCATAAACGGGGATTTTGAACTTTCAAGAGATAGATAGGGAATTTCGGAGCGATTCAGTATGATTGGTTTGAAACCGAAAGGACATGCATTGTTATCATTCAAAAACCATTGACCACCATTTGTAAACCATCAGTTTGACAACAGTCAACTAGACTGTTTGGCGCTGTACTACTCAAATTCAACCATTTCAGTAGCAAAATATTGAATTTGGAATATTGAAAGGCACATCCCACAAATCAAACCGATTGACGCTTACTGATGTAGACCGATTCTAATTTGGATAACAAACCAGTATGAAAATGAATGTTACACATTGAGAAATAATTCTCGTCATCTACTTGTTGTTCATTAGTATGAATGTTACGTGCTTTCAAATTTCCATTTCCTCATTTCCAAATCATAATGAGCCTCGAATAATTTTGTTTACGTGAAACAGTGAAAAAAAGTTCTGAAATAATGTTCATTTGCTTATTCATGTCACGTACATTCTAAGAAATTGAATGCTGATTACCTCAAATAATTTCACAAACACAATCTAGTTACTTTTTTATAATAAGTAGCATATTAAAAAAATGCGAATGAAAGATTCAGAATTTATTTCACAATTCTTCCTGAAGTTTGTGCTAAAATACAGAAGGTAAAGTTTTGATAGACCCTGCCAATAAAACCTTGAATTATGCTTTTTCTTCTCTCCTTCACTTACTTTTATCAGATATTAACTTAAAAAACTCACTTTTACAAATATCTTTCTCTTGTAAGTTGACTCTTAAACAGGCTAATTTCATATCCTGTAATAACTTTCCATGTAAGTTCAGTTTGAACATTGTCTTTTGGTATCAGGCACTGAAATGCCAACACACTCATACAGTACAACTCCATATCATGTGAAAACATTAACTGATCATAGGAAAAGACAAGACGGGATTGCAGCGAGGAAAAAAATTTTTTCGGCGACAATGTCAACGACTAAGACACAGGAACGCATCTTTATCATGGTATTTTGTACAGTACTGAAGAAATATTGTACACTTTGCATTAGAATGATCATTAGAATAATTTTTTCCATTTTCTACTCTTCTCCTACCTCGATTTGCTTTCTATACGCCTACATTGTCTCTTGCGTTTCTCTGGGCAGAATATTTACCCGTCGTTGATAATTGCCTATGACTTCTACCGTCCTCTCAACATATACTACTTACATCCAATCTGATCAGCAGCACTCATTACACTCGTCTCCCCTTCAAAAATATGGGATTCTTCTACCATATTCACTTCCTGAAGTATATCCATGTTCTCTACATTTCACTTGATCTCCGACCTCAAACGATCTCCATTTACTTACCTTTCTCTATGCACGGATTTTTCAGCTTCAGCTTTCTGCTTTGTTCCACATTAATGATTATGCCTTTTTCTTCGCTGTTATCATGTCTTTTCCTTTCCTATGATCAAAACCTTATTTCTTGTAACCGTATACTGTAAAATGTTCTATTTTTGTTTCATCCTCACTGACAGACAAAGTACCTTTTGATTTAATTTAGGAATTTTATTTGTTAACTCATTGAACACTGAAAGGAGAGTTCTGATTGGTTAGTGTTGTTTATCTCGATAATTGATTACATTCCGCTTCCGTTGAATTATTGAAATTATTACTGAATTCTGAAAATAAATACTAAATATGGTCGTAAGAGAACTAAAAAATAAGTCTCTAGCAAGAGAATTCACTATAGAGATAATAAGTTGGCTTCAAAAATACCTGAAAACCCATATGAGTAAATAATATTAATGTACATCTAGAGAATGGTTAAGAAATTGGAAAATGATAATTTGTCCTATGAAAACCAGAAACCTATCAGAGTTCAGCCTGAATTCAAAGGCTTGAAAAGTCAGTTAAACAAATGAAATTTTATCATAGGTACGTCATTCATAGATTGATTATGTGTAACAATTCATGCGAAGCGTCCCATTCATCTAAACTATTCACTAATGTATTTAGGAGCACTGACTTCGTTGGGAAGCGTGAAGATAATAAGTTATTCAGCTTTTCAAGGTAATTATCTTCAAAATAGAACGGATCATATACTTCTTAGGTCTATTCCTACGAAGCATATGTTTAATAGTGACACTAAGAGTTAACCAAAGAAGTCCCACCCGCTAAGAATGATAGCAGGTCATTTAACGTGTCACTGTACGAACCCCACCTGCTTAACCATAACATAAATTGCAGTTGAACAGCAACTGAACCTTCTCACTTTGTTATAAACCATGTAAATGTGATTTCCTGATAAGTTTTATCTTTATATGACTCAGATTAACTTCCATCCTTTCAATTAGACATCTCATAATCAACAGTAGGTATTCACTTGTTTTTGATTTATCAATATCTGTCCTCCACAGTGGATAAGTAAACACTCTATCCACTCATAGTTGTACGTTTTTTGTTCTCTTCCACAGTCGACATCAAAATGTATTGTAATCAAGTCGATATGGTGTGTCGGTCGTCGAAAGCTATCTGCTCAACTGGAAAACATATTAATAACATTTATATTCCACCTCAGTGTGTTTGTCAGGATGGTTATTTACCAGTCTATCAGAGTTACTTGCATTATCACGACTGTGGTAAGTCTATGTGTGCTGTTGATATAAGTTCCCAATCATTCACCGATAGTTAATATTAATAATAATAATAATTTCTAGTTATTGATATGCTTGTATTTCTCTGTTGTTTTGCTGGATCGGATTATTCAACCTCTGTTGGCATGTGGGCTCCTATGTGGATGCCTTAATATTGCTAGAATGTTTATTATAGTAATTTACTTGGTTATAGATAGCAGAAAAATCCCAGATGATCGCGGCCTAGTGAATAATGCCTTGGTGTTTGAAGCGATGGGTAAAAGGTTCGAGTCTCCGCGGGGACAGTGTCACTCACTGGGGTGGCGCAGGTACATCCAATCGGTGAGTCCTAAGTAGGGTGAAACGCGTATCCTGGTTTCTTCTGCTAGTCATGATCAAATAAATTATAATAATAGTAATGTCAAACTTTACTTCAGACAACATTTGGTTACAGTATGACATTATTAACAGATAATATTATAACAAATTTACTCCTGGTACGAAATTTCTAAAGTTCAAAATAATTTAAGTCTACTAACTATATAAGCTAAAGCAGAACCTAGTGCATAGATGACGCGTTAGATCTTGCAATCGAGGGTAAGAATCTGTATTCTCGAGATGGACGACGTCATAACTTAATGAAAGTATGAAATTCGGTATTTTGGGTATTGTAGTGCTTACTACACTACTGTAGATATAATAAAAGTAAATGAATTATTTTGATGAGCAAATATTGGAAGGAGACTAGACAAAATACCGGTAAGGTATCAACAGTATATGGTTGTGTTAACTGCTGATCTGAAATTGAATAAAATACCAGCCCATGCATAAAATTAAGCAAATGTTGACATAATAAATAAAGGATTGAGGGGTAGCTTGCACAGCAAATGAATTAAATCAAAAAAACTAAAATGAAAAGACATCTCTAATAAGGTATCTTTCATAATAAAATTAATAAAATTTAATGACACTACTTGCCCATAGTAAGTAGCAAATCTCTAAAAGCGTCAAAACGTACTGATAAGAAGGTGTAACCTCAGAGTAGTAGATAAGACCAGCAGAGAAAGTTTAGGACTATTGCAATGTTAAATAGGAAATTACATCAATTAATCAACACCGGGTAATCATTTCAGCTTTCCAGTCGTTATTCCTCAGAACTGACTATGTCTGTAGAATAAAATCGAATGATGAGCCCTGAGGACTTAACAGATACATAGTCAGCAGTAAAAGAATAGCATATGTAATCAAGTCCTACGAGGTTCATTCGTGGCTTCAGTGGCTTAGTCATAAGGACTATCCAAGTTTGAGTCACCAATGACATACCATTTTCCCCATAGTTACAGGTACGCCTTGGTATTATGCACTGACAGACACAGAACCTACGCCTAGCAGACCTTATCCACGATTGACTTCCAACATCTAATACCATTATATGAAATTTGCTGGTTTTTAACGAAACCATTTTATTTTCAACCCTTGAGCAAATGACTTAATAAACTGCAGCTTCAGCTGGTTTTTTGTCGCATCAAGTAAGAACCATGGTCAACTGTTACACAACAAGACAACTGACTTTCATTTCATTCCTACAAGGAATAGTAGTCCGCTGAATTCAAACAATTTATCCCATTTTATTTTATTAAGTTCTGCACATCTACACAGAACCAAACCTAAACAATGGGTAGAAGGCTAAAGAATTCATGTATTTGCTGAACATGGGAAGTATATGCAAATGATTATGGGAATGTGGAATTCAGTCTAATGGTGTAAAGCATCTGGAGCCAAGATATTTGAGTAACTGACCGACACAATTATCTCCAACCTGATCACGTCAGACATCTTGACATCTTTTGAGATTGTATGCTCGTGAAGTCTTCGTGCATTACCTGAAACTACTGGGAAGATTGTTACTGTCTTAGGAGAAGTTACACATTGTCCAAGCATATTGATGGCAAGTTATCCCCCTGATTCATTCCTAATCAAAGAGTTTCATCTCATGGAGTTCCCTTACGAATTATTTGACAATTTATTCATCATTGTTCTGTTATACTTCTGAAATCTACGTCAAAATACAAAACATCCCACTGTAATGTTCCCAGGGAACAATAGTCCCTTGACACGAATTTCTCTGTTACTTAAACTTCAACATTCTTCCTTTTTGTCCCACCGAATAACGATTCCATATTACTGGTAAGGTTTTCTCAATCCGTCACATTCAGCTGTTCGTGTCTGAGTAAAAGTGAGAATGTAATAAGATAAGTTTGTTTCATTCTTCGTAAGTCACTATTTGCTTCGTTGAAGACAATGTAATATGAGATATTGAATGAAAGAATAGTATACTTTCTTATATCTTGTATTGGGTGACGGTTTGAAAGAAAATGTACACCACAGAAGACTGAATTGCATCTCACTGAAGTTCTTGACAGAATTATCGAAACTTAGACCTTCTAGCCTCAGTAAGCGTTAACATTCCCTTCTAAAGGTCCATTCATAGAATCATTTTATCACTTTAGGAATTCCTTCCATGAGGAATGAATTTCATTCAACTTTCTTTCCTTGTCAAATTTAACTATATTTAGTCTAAATAATCGTAGCTTTCTATAATAAAGAAGTTAAACTTGGGCACTATGGTCGATTAGAATTCCATTTTAGTCTGTTTGTTAGAAGTATTACACAGTGAAACAGTAACATTTACTGAATAAAAACGTTTTGCATTAAACTTATTGTCCATATTCACATCAGGCAACTAACTCCACAACTTCGAGACAGACTTTACATATTCATAATTTTTTCTCATCCTCTGTAATGACAAGAGTAGTAGAATTTTCCATATATCTGGGACAAGTGTCAAACCATTTCGATTGGATGTATTTGGCGTTGATTTGATAACAAAGATTCGGTTATCAATCTCCCTCTCCACCCAAATGAGTTAGTTATTCCGCTGTCGCTCTATCCCACACTACTGTGTGATTGTGTGTTAACACATACAGAGCTATAACCGAGCTTTCCCCTAGATTTCTTATCTTATTATTTATTATTTTATTTATTTGCCCTTCGGTTCCCAATGGAACATAGGGCTTCAGTAGCACGTATCCATTACACTATCTTCTCTACAATCTGTTCAACATGGCTCCACAACACCCCACAACCTCTCATTTACTCCTCACACAATCTCCTCCATATAACCCTCATCTCCGACGACCAACTCGTCGCTTCCCATCTGGGTTCCACTGAAGTACCTTCCTTGCCTGGTGCGTGATGTCCCCAATCGTCCTTCTCAGTGTATGCTCAGTCCAATCCATCTCCACTCACTTCCACTGCATATTTGTTGAGCGATATGTTCGTGGTTGGTTCGTTGCCAGCCAACCAGAGTTCCTTGTTGCTTATTCTCATTATTCTGACCATCTGATCTGAGCTTCAGTATCGAGCCAGCCTAGACAGTTGTTGATGAATATCTGTAGTTTGTTGGAAATGCTTTTCATAACGCGCCAACTCTGTGAACCATGCAGAAGCACTGACTTGACTGAATTGGTGTTTAGAATCGGGATGTTGTTCACGCTTTATGCTGAGTGCAGTGCAGAAGATCTCCACACTGGTTTCAGGTTAATGAGGGAAGGCTTGTCTTGCTGTCTTTCCGATCGTGGCTGGCTTTGACCTCCTCGTGCGTGCCTGTGTGGCCTGTAGTTGAAACAGTGCTGCCTAGATAGGTGAGAGGATACTTCCTTTACTTTTCTCCGGTTGATGGTGATTGTAGTTTGTTGTTGTTGTTGTTGTTGTTGTTGTTGTTGGTTGTGTATCTTCATCACCCCAACCTCTGTCTTCTCTATATTCACTCTCCCATTTTGTCTTGATGGCTAAAGTGAAGATTTCCTTTGTAGTTTCATCCTTCAGTTTCCGAGCGTTGTACTTGAACTGCTGTCTATCACCAGCTTCCTTCAAGGCTTTCAACTTGATTTGAAAGTTAGTTTCCTTGCACTAGATAGTGGTCTGAACCTACATCTGCTCCTCTTCTTGACCTTGTGTCAAGTAGGCTGCGTCTCCACTTTATTGAGATTGAGATAAAGTCGATCTGATTTTGAGTGTGTCCTGGTGTCTGGTGAAATCCATGTCGCTTTGTGGATATCCTTGTGCTTGAACACAGTGCCTGACTCCAATCACCAAATCGTTGAATGCACAGAATTCTACAAACAATTCTCTATGCTCGTTCATTTTACCTAGCACTTCTCGGCCCATGGTTAGTTCTCTTCCTGTGTTGTCCGCTCCCAGTTTGGCATTCATGTCGCCCATTAAAATTTTGATGTCGCCAACTGGGGGGGGGAGGTTTTGTTCAGTACTGATTGCAGTTGTCTGTAGAATCCCTCCTTTTTCTCTTGCTCTGCATTATTTGTGGGTGCGTAGCATTGTATGATTGTGACTTTCCTTCCTTTTGAGTTGAATCTTGCTGCCTGGAAGAGACTGGTCCCCACAGCTTGAGAGAGAGCCTTCGATGTTGTTGGGGACATCATGATAGCCACTCCAATACTCAGTGTGCTCGTGGCTGTCGTCTGGGTGACCGGCGAAGATTATTAATTTTCCAGTTGACAGTTTGGAGAGTCCACTCCCATTCCATCTACTTTCACCAATTCCCAGCACTTTAATGCGATACCTTCTCATCTCATTTGCAATCTGGGCTGCTTCACTAGGTTCATACATGGAGCGGACATTCCATATCCCCACCTTTATTTTCGCTTTCATCTAGGGAGAGAAGACACATCGGCCAATTGGCTTCCCGAAAAGCTTTCACCAACCGGCGTCATTTCGCCTGTCCGATTCCAGCGAGGAATAATTTTGTTTTTATTTTTTATGTTTTGTTTGTGGTTGGATTTGCGTTGGGTTTGTTTTACGGGGGAGGGTTGCTAGTCGTATGCCCAACCTTCCCTCTTTTCCCGGGCTTAGGAGCGGCTAGTAACTAGTGAACTAGTTAACCAGGCGAGGTTTCTTATCTTATTAGGATCTACTAATCATCATTTGGCTAAGTTTTTGTGCTCTGTTATTCTAATCAACCCTGGCTAGTCGACTGCTTTGACCTATGTACTTGACCTCACAATCATTGCAAGGGATCTGTTAAACCAGATTGCATTGATAGGATCTTTTAACCTATAAAGCTTGCTTCTAAGTGAGTTCGTTGGTTTGAATGCCACTTGAATACCAGCCAGCCTTATTGAGAATTCTTCGTAACGCTTCTGAGGTGTCTTCCTTGTATGGTAGGTAACACAGCAGAGGCTTCAAATTCTTTCTCAACGCTATCACCATTATTACCATTAGTAGTAGAATTAGTATTAATAACACCTGTATTACCACTTCCTAATATTCTTCTGGATTGAATTCACTATCGAATTTATGTGTCAAGAACCTGTTGATGTGTTCCGATTTCAGTACTGTAAACGTTTCATCTACATACCGGAACTACATCTTTGGAGTAGGACTAAATGTTTGAAGGTCCACCTGTTCCCAACTATCCATAAATATGTCTGTGGCGATAGAAGATATTAGTGATTCCACGGCAACACCTTCAGTTTGTTTATATATTTTATCTTGAAACTTAAAAACTGTAGATGTTAAGCACAATCATACTCCTAGTATGATTTCTTCTATCGGCACCTTAGTTCGATGCGTAAATTCTTTGTTATCTTTAAGGCCATTTTTAACTGCCTGTGGAGCCATGTCCATTGGTATATTTGTGAAAAAGGTAGTTTTGTCAAAACTAACCATTTTCATTGTCATCTAATCTGTGCTTTCATCGAGCTTAACACCATTTCTAAATAAGATGGAGTGTTTCTAAAATCTACTGAAGGCCTGATGGGAGAACCTGGCTTGTTTATCGAGTCAACACCAAGTAAATGCAATCGAAATGGTTCTTCACTTGTCCCAGATATATGAAAAATTCTAGCACTGTTCTACCAGAAGTAAAATTATCATCCTGGTTGAACAACTGATGGTGAATGTGTTATTTCCTTTTACCAAATTCTATAATAACATAAAAATATTCGAATTCATTCTTGAAAACAAAGTCGCTCTGTTGTATAATAAGAATGATTAGTTTTTGCATACGGAACCACTGAATCTATTGTCAATTGAACAAACACAAAGGTGACTAACTGAACTGACATTCACTTATGAAATTTGAGCCAAAGGCTGATTACCCTGAACTATTGACTATCTACAAACTATTAATCAATATTGTGCACAACACACAGTTCCCCAACTGACTGACGTATATCAGGGTGACATTCGCCACGAACTGAAGTTATTTGAAGAATTATTGAAGACCTGAAAACACTGAACATCCTTTTTGTCCTAGCATAGAACTATGCCGGAGACATTCGCTCTATATCCTAAATTGGTAGAAGTAAGAAAATGTGAACCCAATGGCTGACTGGCCATGTGATTAGCACAAAGAGTCATAGTCTTAAGTTAGATACCTAGTAAGACCGTGGGTGAGCATTGCTGAGGAACCATGGACTAGGAGGAAATGGTTGTTCAATGCTTCGAGATTTTTAACGGGTTTGCAACTGATATCATTCCGTTATGAGTACCATTAATCCCGTAAACCTCCGAATAAAATTGCTGAGTAATATGAAACTATGAATCACTCATTATAGCAATTTGTTTGTCTGTGACCAGCAGAAGAATCCAGGAAGCATATTTCGTCCCACTTGGGTTTCGTCAGCTGGATGTACCTACTTCACCCCAATGAGTGATGTTGTTACCATTGAGACTCTAGCCTCGTAAGCATCTCTTCAAACCCCACAGCGTTATCAACTGGGTTACTGAGGCACGACAGTCGCCTCTTGTACAAAGGGTACCACTTATAACTTTTTGTTGATGTACTTGTGATTCTCCGTTATTTCGCTTTATCGAATTGTTTAACCTCTGTTGGTATATGGGCTCCTATGAATCCTGGATTCTTTTACTAGCCACAATTAAGTAAATTACAGTAATAAATATTCAGGTAACATTGAGGTATCCGCATAGGAGCCTATTTTCCAATAGAGATTGAACAGTTTGACTGTAGACTGTACAAATATCTTATATGGATTCTAGTTAAGTTCATGGTTTCGAATTTAATGTTGATGTCTGCAGACATCAGAAATTACCCATAAAACTACCCAATTGTAGTCAGTGAGGAACTGAAGGTCACCAGGTAACCATGACTGCTACTATAAACATTCAATTCATAAGTCATAAGGGCTTTAACTGGTCATCATGTGAACCTATCACGATAAAAAGACTGTTATGGACACACTACTGAGGTTCCATCTACTAGCTAGTCAAAATACGAATCAATACAGGGACAGTCAAAACACTTTTTCGCTATTTTTATCTCCTACCCAGTCCTTCCTACGTAAAGTAACGATTAGGTGAACAATAGTTGATCAGTGATTCTTTTGTGACTGCCTGACCAGGATACTGTCTTCTAGGTGATCTTATATAACGATGACATGCTTAAATTTACCCTAAGGAAACCTGCTAGCGTAATTCACAGGGAAATAACTTACTGTTTCTGAGCAAGTAGCAAATCACATAGTCACAATACGTCCACAATCAGCTGTACTTAGTTCAAACAAATTGTATATATCTCAGATATACAGAGAAACTGTTACAATTTAAATCTGTGAATTCGACACTAAAGATGTTTTCTGACAGAACAGACTAAGAAACAAATCTCTCAGATGTTTTTTCAAATGGAAAATGTAAATCAGCAAAGTACACTTCAAGGGAAGGTAGTCATCTTGGACTGCTCTTTGCCGCATAAAGCCTGGAGAGCTGTGAGAACTACGGAGTTGGCTCGTCCCAGTTTATGAATCCTCAGCAGTGCACATTCAGACTGACAATTTTCAGGTTTGGTGACTTTCATTTGACCATTTGGTCACTGGATGAGAATCTACTAGTCCCCTTTCTCCATCTCCATCAAGTGATGCCACTGTCGAGCAATAGTTCTTTCACCCTACAATGAAACAATGTTCATCGCTCCAAGGTTTTCAGCAGTTCACTGATGTTGATTCGTAACGGGAACTACCCACTGAAACCAATCAATCGCATGTAACTCTCCTTAGTGAGTGATACCCAAAAAGAGAAACTCTCCATTTGCTGTCCACATGAATTCATAATACATCACATGTGTAGTACTGTCGATCTCTTCAATTCAGTTTGTTTTACTTTTGTTTATTCATTGTTCAATCTATCCTATTCATTAGTATTTATACTACTTAATTCTTTACAGTTCCTATCTGTAATCAATGTCCTCCAGTGAATAAGTTTCTGTATCAAGAAGATTGTGCATGTCAAGAAACTGTTTGGCAAAATGACTTTAATACCTTCCCTAAAACCAATGATAATATCAAAAGCAATTTGTTCTGTAAGTCATTCTTTCAAAAAAATGTTTGTTTAACAAATTAATCACTTATTTTAAGGCAAAATTATTTGTGTGAGGATAAGTTCTGAACGCATAACAGTCTGTATTCAAAATAAAATATTCATGTGTTTTGTTGGTGGTTAACTATTGGAAGTGTTTGATTAGTGTCCACTGCAATATTGAACATTGAACATTGGACGTAAAATCAAATTGTTTTTTACCATCGTCAATAAATAATCACCTTTCACAGATAATTCAGCATTTATTATTTTCTTATTTTATATTTTACACTGTATTGAAGACTATTCTATGTATGAAACTTCAAAGAATGGGATGACTAAATCGGTTCAATACAAAGTGTAACGTTTACAAAAATGTTTGCTTTCTAGGCTTTATTTAAAATCCGAATACAGGCATCTTTTCAAGTTTACTAGATACTACTAAATCTTAAGTTTTAAGCGCATCTGAAAGCAAATTTCATTTTGATTGCTGGCTAAAGGTATTTCAAGTGGACAGGCTTGCAATTTCTTGAGACTCCATTATAAACCACATCATTAGCCGACAGGATTCTACTCATTTGGTAGAGCAGCATTCCTGTGGGACGTCACAGATATTCTATGCTGAAGAGTGTCTGAAACTAAGACAAAGCATCTGTTTACTGTTTCCTAGTTCTACATGTTTTCCTAGATGGTCCCACTTCGGGACGAAAACTATAGTAATACCGACTCACTATAAAATATGCATTATGGAATAACATAAGCTGGAGAACCGTCGAAAATGAAGGAAAGCTGTGCATATGTTTCGTCTCAGTATAGTTTTCCTCAGCTGTACACAGTAATTAACCAGCCAAAGACCAGACCCAAGACCTTCGGGTTTCGTGACTCACACGTCACCACTGAGCCACTGGGTCGTAATCCAATACTGTACATTTTATCTTTATCATTCCAGGATACAGAGTACTAGCTAAGAAGTCCTACAATAGGAAAAAACAGCCATCCAGTGTTAACAGATTTTCAATCGTTCTCTAACTGATATCAGTCTATGCTGAATACCAAAAAGTAAAATCAATAAATCCCATCAAACATTGAAACTGAATTATGAAATTATGCCTTTTATTTCTTTGCAAAGCTGAGTTTATCAAAGATCTATCTATCTATACTTATATCTATGCACTGATTGGTTATTACAGAGTAATCAATTTCATGTTGTCTAATCCTGAGTGCTGATTGGATTCTATCGATTATTTTGCAACGTTCAAAATCACGGTGCAGTTTTGATTGACAGTCGGTTGGAGGGAGTTGTAAAGCCTCCTAGCTCAGTGACCACACTGTGGCCTGAACAGCTCAGTGGGAATGTTTCTCACTCCGGCATTATGTGACGCACATTCGGACCCACGAGAAAACATCGGCTTTTTGTGGTTCAAAGATGCGCTTTGCTAATGTGTGCCAACAGACACGGAAACTACATTAAGCACGGCTTCCTGCCAATTGTCTGCAACTAATTAGTAAGCTCACAAACTAGTATGATCAGTTTTGTAAATGATCTACAAATCGCATGGTCCACATTAACAAATTTCACTGATGAGTAGTTTCTCAACTTCCCAGTTGTGGTATCAACAGGGTTTTTTTAGAAAACAGTCAGATGCGATCACAGGATCTGACCTGCAACATTAAAAAGCGTCATTAACTATAGAAATATACTACCACTAAACAAACTGAGTAGTTAGAAAGCACAAAGACTGATCTGGGGTATTTCACCAGTCAGATCAGCGTAATCTAAACACCGGGCAGCAGTTTCACTCGTTTCACTCTTTCTCTGGTTCACGATACTTTTGTGTCGTAGATCACATCTTGTGATCTGTTGAAAAACTATTCAGCTGTGAGAAACGTCAATGTGTGCCGTACAGTTTGTAAATCATTTGCAAACTGTTCATTCTTTTTCGGTCCGTGCAAGTCAGGTAACCAGATTCAGGTAATATGAAGTAATCCAGCTCTTCTATGAATTGAACCTGTCCAGGTGCAACGCTGATGAGCTTGGCTGCAAACGACAGAAATGGCCGTCCAATGTTTAGCTCATTCTGATCTGGCTGGCGAAATACTACACATCAGTCTGAGTGCTTTCCTACTACACGAGTTGTTCAGTAGTGGTATCTTTCACCAACTCGCCAACTGTTTGCCAGAGCTAATAAATTTAGCCAACACATCAGTGTACCATTACACTCCTGGATGTTGTTCACGCCTTATGCAGAGTACAGTGCAGAAGATCTCCACATTGGTTTCAGGTTAATGAGGGAAGGCTTGTCTTGCTGTCTTTCCGATTGTGGCTGGCTTTGACATCCTCGTCTGTGCCTGTGTCACCTGTAGTTGAAACAGTGCTGCCTAGATAGGTGGAAGAGACCAATTCCTTTAATTTTCTCCGGTTGATGGTGATTGGAGTTTGTTGTTGTTGTTGTTGGTTGGTTGGGTATCTTCATCACCTCAACCTCTGTCTTCTCTATATTCACTTGGAGTCCCGTCTTCACTGCTCTGCCCACCCCTGTTTCTTCTGTCAACGTGTTAGTTTTCGCCTATAGATCTTCCAGTTTGTACGACATCAGACACAAGTCATCGTTGGCGAAATCCAAGTCTTCTAGGTTATTTTCTGTGTTCCAGCGTATCCCTCTCTTCTCGCTCCTCACCGTTTGTTGCATGATCCAGTCTACTACAATCAGGAGTATCATGGGTGATAGTAGATAGCCTCGTCTTACTCCTGTCTTCACTTCAAAAGCATCATTGAGCTTCCCATTGTGAATTACTTGGTGTGTGGCGTCTTCATATATTTGTTGAATGAGGCTGATAAAGGTTTGTTGTATTCCGTAGTGTTGAAGCAGTTTCTAAATTACCTCTCGTTTGACGCTGTCAAAAGCCTTCTCACAGTCGATGAAGTTGAGATTGAGTTGAGTTGACTGCCATTCTATACTCTGTTCTATGAACCGACTAAATATTTAATAGTAATCAACACCTGTGTTATATTTTCACATAGAACTTTAAAAAGTTTGTACGCTTTAAGTAAAGTCTTCAAATCTTACCGTTAGCAATAGATAAGACATTGGGTAAGAAAAAGTGAAAATATTACTGAAAGTTATGATATTCTGTTGGACACATGTCATCTGGTGATATTTGGTTCCTCAAATGTTCTGCAGGATTATCTGATCATATACTTACAAATGTCATTTTGAATGGTTTCAGCCTCTGTAGACCTCGCTGATCGTCAGTTCATTTTTTAAACAACTTACCCCTTCCCTAACGATTCAAGAATTAACTTTCTGACCTTCTGACTCTTCACACAATTAAAAATAAGCTATAAGTGTGAGAGTTTCTAATCGAATTCCCGCAACTACATGTCCGGCAATGTGGCTGAATAGATGGGTAAAGTGCCTGTGGCTGGTTTCCGTTACAATTGCATATACCAACTCGGGTAGATTCGAGTAATATGTATCTGTGAAGAACTGCAACATTACTCCATGAGAAATATCAGCTTCTTGGTCAGCCTTTTTGAACAGACAAAATGAAGTTAGAACTTCGGAAGGAAGAACATCGGTTCAATTTGCAACACCTCACAGAATCAAAGAGTTACATTTAAGTAGGTTGGAGTGTATAGGAAGAGACAGAATCGGATATACTTGGGTTAGTGAAAACGTTTAGACTTTGCAAGAAGGCAAAGAAAGAATAAAACTGTTTCGTTGTGACTGATTTTCAGTCATGTCACCCAGGAATCTCCAGCTTTGGATTCTTACTATCATGAGGAACACAACAGCACAGTCACATACGTACTCACACGGCTTAATGTTCTGTTGGCACGTCTTAGTCTGATCACCTTGAACTTTGTTCCAATCATATAAGTGTAAAACTTGGGCACCGTGGTAGAATTTAATTCCATATTAGATTTGTTTATTTGATTTATAACACAGTGATATTTACTTGATGACGTTTCGAACATAAATTATTATCAGTCATAATCACATTAAGGTAATCACACCACTTTCGACATCTGGTTTTTATAGCATGAGTTGTTGTTTTTATTCGTAGCAAAATTTTCCATGTCTTTGGAATAGGTATTGCGTTATTTCTATTACATGTGTTGAGTGCTGATTCGATGAACAAAGATTCAATAGTCAATCTCTCCATCCAATTATATTGGACTTAAGTACAGTGGTTTTATCCCATCCATCCTATTGTGTGGTTGTGTGTTAATGTATGCATAGCAATAGCTGAGTTTTTTCTAGCTTATTGATCTTATTTAGGTCTGTTATTGTATATTTACCTAAATTCCTATGTTCGGCTAATCTAACTGACCCCGACCGACTACTTTGACCTATATACTTGACCTCACTATCATTACATGGTATCTGATAGATTATATTATTTTGTTTAATTGGTTCTATCGGATCCTCAAGCCAGTCGACAAAGCTTATCTCTGAGTGAGTTTGTAGGTTTAAATGCCACCCTAATTCCAGCTCTGTTGAGGATTCTATGTAAAGTTTATGAGGTACCTTCCTTATAGGGTAATACAATGGAGACTGTGAACTCCTTTTTTCTCGTGTTGTCGTTATTAGTCGAACTCGTCTGACTGTCATTTTTTCGTTTTTTGTGTGTCCGTAAGAATTTCTTAATAAACTGAGGAAGATAATTATTAACTATTAGTGCTTCTTTTACGTGTTTCAATTCCTTGTTTAGGTTCTTGCACTGACTAGTCAGTTTTCTAGCTCTATCATTTAGACATTTGACTAATCCTGACTTAACTGACATTGGATAGGGTGATTTGAAGTCTAAATACCTGTTGGAATATGTTGGTTTCCTGTAGACAGTAGTATCCAAGTCACCGTCTGTTCTTCGTTTTATTCTGCAATCCAATATAATTCTCCTTGTTCATTTTCTACTTCGTAAGTGAATTGGATTGCGTTTACTACTTAGTTTATATGCATGAGGAGGTTGGTGAGATCATATTAGGCATACAGTTATGCCTGACCTTCACAGTCTTCAAGTTTCGGGACAAAATATACAGAGGTGATAGGACCATAAAAATCGAATGTTGAAAGTAGTGTGATTACATCGATATGATTATTAGAGATAATAATTTATGCTCACGTAAATAAATAAATGTGGAATTTATTCCAATCACAGTGTTAACTTTCACCATCCTCATCGATTTTCATTTTTACTTTCATACATACAGATTTTTCCTACGCTGAAGAAAACTTCACAATCTGTTACAATGCTTCATTAAAACACCAAATAAAATCATCTTTCTTCGTAAACAATAACATGATACAAACTGCTGTTTTCATGTCTAATCATTTAAATTCAGCATATCCACATGAAAACTGCCTTCTTAATGAATATAATGAAGAGGGAGCTGGGTGTAAAACGTACAATTTATTGAAACATGACATTTTATCATATTGTGCTTCCGTTCAATACCACCAATCTCCAGTAAGTAAAAAAATTTCATAATGATAATAATTTTTGCATCAGATTTGATCGTAAAAAAAGTGAAAAACAACATCAACATTTGTATTTAACATGAAATAGAAAACTGAACTAAAAATCTATGAACTTCACTACGCTCAACCATCCAACCCTCTATGTTGCCTGAGTTCTAATTATGTTAATGATGGATCGTGGCTAGCAGTGAAATCCAGTATGCACATTTTGTCCTATTTGGGACTTGTCGGTTGGATGTACCGGCTTCCCAGTGAGTGTTGTTCCCACCGGGATTCGAACTCGGGATCGTCGCACAAGAAATGGTTGTCGTGGCTCGGTCGTATAATGGAAAATGCGCTGGCGTTTGAAACGATCGCTGACGAGTTTGAATCCCGGCGGGAACAACACTCGCCCGGAAGCAGGTACATCCAGGTGACGAGTTTCAAATAAGACGAAATGCCTATAATGGATTCCACTGCTAGCTATGCTCCATCATTAACATCCGACCCTTAGATAAAAATGTTAATGAGAATAAAGGCTTTGCTACAACGGTGAAATGAACAAACGGTACTAGTCTTGAATATAAATTTACAAATGATCTTGATCTCCTGAGATAATTTACGAAAACTTTCATCGTTGGATTTAGTCGACTGTCCAGCTTGACACTTATTTGGTGTGAGAAGTGAAATTCTCCAATCTCTGAGGCGCACTGATTGTCTCTACGTAATTTTAACAATTTCTAACTTCTGTAACGATCTGCTAAATTGGCTTTGATAGTCTAAGCGTGTGGATGACGTAGAAACTGAAGGCTTTATGATAGCTTATTACTGGAATGGAACGTCGCACTGTATTTCAGTTGATTTATTACATGTGTTACACAAAGAAACTATTATTTACTGCCCAACTTCAGCTACTTCGAGTTTAACACCGTAAACGTGTCATCTACATGTCGAAACATTCAGTCCTGCTGGAATTACAGTGAGTTTTAGCAGCGAGCTCAATAATGACCATGAGCTTACGCTATGAACTAAGGTACCGGTAGATGATATCATGCTAGGAGTACAGCTATGCTAAATCTCCACAATCTTTAAGTTTCAGAATAAAATATACAAACTAACAGAAGGAGTTGCCATGAGATCACCATTATCCCCTATTGTGGTTGATATATTGATATATATAGATAGTTTGGCACAAATGGCTGTGGGAACATGTAGTCCTACTGCAAAAGTGTGGTTTCGATATATAGACGACATGTTTACAGTGTTGAAATTGGAGCATATACACAGTTTCTTCACCTGTATAAATTCATTTGTCAACGCAGTCCAATTCACCTTTGAATTAGAAAATAGTGAAGGAGAATTAGCGATATTGGATTGCAGAATAAAAAGAAACAAGATAGGAGTTTAGACACTAGTGTCTATAGAAAACGTTTACACTCAAACCGTTATTTAGACTGCAAATCATTTCACCTTGTCAGTTAAAGTTGGCGTGGTGAAATGCTTAAGTAATCAGGCCAAAAGACTTACTAGTAAAACAGAAGATCTAAGACGATGAACTGGATACATTTAGAGTACCTTACTCATCGAGAATTACGGTCTCAAATTAATTGATAAGTCCCTTGATAATCTTAAGAAAAACTATGGCTAACATTACTAACAAAGGTGTTAACAAGAATAACAATAATAGTGAAGAGAGGATTCAAAACCTCCACACTGTTATCACACTAGGAAAGCTTCCCAGAGGAATTAAGTAGGATTCTGAATACAGCTGGCTGGGATTGGAGTGCATTTAAACTTACAAACTCACCTAAAAAATAAGCTTATAGGTTAAAAGATCCCACTGATTCAATTAGGCAGAATAACTTAGTTTATCAAATACATAGGTCAAAGTAGTCGACCGGGGTCAAATAGGCTTTCGGAGCACAAAACCTATCTAGGTCAGAATTGTTAGATCCTAGTATGATTAGGAATTTATAAAAAAGTTCAGACATAGCTATGCATGCGATTACACACAACTACACAATAGGATTGGGATGAGTTAAAAATCCTTAAAACTAACATATCAAGATGGAGAGAGGGACTGAACACTAAATCTTTGTTTATCGAATCAACACCTCCCACATGCAAAACAGGAATGGTTCAACACCTCTTCTAGATAAGTAGAAAGTTCTACCACCTGTGTCACAAAGGAGGTGATGAAACTAGGACTATAGAAACTGTCTCAAAGTTGTATAGTTATGTTGATATAACTGTGGACAATAAATTATGTCCGAAACGTAATCCAGTAAACAATACTACTCCACACTGTGTGATACGCACAACTTATCGTCCATACTCATGCCAAGATAACTTCACAACTTTGAGACGTGGTATAAGTAGTTATGATTCTCTCTCAAACTCAGCTCCAAAGGATAATTTAACCCACAAAGTTTGTAGGGTTTAAAAACCACTCCAATCATAGCCTTAGTGATAGCGGTGAGGACCCCTTTCGAGGTCTCTTCCTTGCATACTGACAGCCATGGGGATTTCATTTCTCCCTTCAGAGTGTTATCAATATTATTCGTATCACTTGCTTACCGCTGTGAGTTACATTTCCTCATAATTTCCTATAAATTTATTTATAAATTTAGGTGAGATGTAAGGTATCCTGTATGTCGCTGATTTCTCGTGTCAAATCTCCTATTCTACTAGTAAGCTTTTTGTCCTGTTACTTAGATATTTCAACTACCCCAATTTAATTTTGAGGGGTTGTGGAGATTTGGAATTATTTCAAGTTGTTATTCATCGAAGACTGACATCAGTTGGAGGAACAAAGGAAACCTGGGAGCACTGGACAGCTGTTTCGTCCTAGTATGGGACTCCTCAGCAGTGCGCACCCACGACCCCACCAGCAGGGATCGAACCCGCGACCTTCAGGTTCCGCGACCAGCGCGTTACCATTGAGCTAGCCACTGGGTCAGAATCCAATGCTCCATATTTCCAACTTCTGTTAGCTCACGATATAGCGCAACCGCCACCCAATGTCATCGTTGAGTATCTGTCCTCACGGCCATCAGGCTTTGACTCCACCGGTCACGACTTGTCATTGGAACTTCGGGAATACTTCTCGAAGCTAGTCACCAACGAGCACTAGTTCAATTAAATTTTGAGGGGTTGTGGAGATTTGGAATTATTTCAAGTTGTTATTCATCGAAGACTGACATCAATTTAACTGACATACAGCGGGGTGTTTGAAGTCTGTGGGAAGGTCTGTAGTATACCCACGACCCCGCCAGGGATCGAACCCGCGACCTCCTCCAACTGATGTTAGTCTACGATGAATAACAATTTGAAATATTTTCAAATCCCCACAACTCCCTCAAAATTTTATTATCTAACCGTTATACGACAATAATTTTATTTCCCTCTATCCCTGCACACACCTACAAAGATTGACTACTGAGAATATATAAACTTTTCAAGATTTTGTTTATTACTATTACCTTTACTGTTATCTTCTAATTCATATACCTGAATTCATTTAACCATATTGGTATCAAATGAAGATGTAGATTGTCTGAAAAATGTGATGTATTTGCGCTATACATTTCGAACAGTCTGATCTCATATTTACTTGTTAAGGCACTATATATGAAAACTTGAAGGGAGGGGAAGGACAAATATGGCATAAAGAATTCAATAATAAGAAAGATAATGAAAGGTAAAGAGATAAGATTTGAAGACAACCTTGGTAATACGATAAAATAAGCATTATCAGGGTAGGCATAACGTAAGGACAAACTGTTTTTGCACCCCTTAATAGGGAGTTAGATTTATTTATGACTAGCACCCCAACAAACTTAAGTATACACCCCTGACAGTTTCCATGCCCAATTGTAAAGGCTGTTTTAATATCAATCCTGTGACTCTTATCAATGATATGTTTTACAATGGATGCGGATGATGGCTGTCTGCCCCCTGCGGTTATTGATGTTTGTGAATCCAGCTGCTTATGTAGCCATTTTGAAACATGTTCCCCTACCCTCAAGCACATATCACGATTAGTTCTCCCTATTTATGTTTGTCCACACACACATGTCAATCTATGAACGCAGTGGGATGTGATGCAGTCGTTTATACAGCGTTGAGATCTAGGTTGCAGCAGGTGCTTGGTCATCTCAACTACGATATACTTAGCTGCATATTACGTCATGCTAACAACGGACCTTAACGTTCGTTTTGCTTTTATGCTATTAGATTCTCCTCTGTATGGTAACGTGATGTGAACTCATTTCTTCGAAACAAAGTAGAGATTAGTTTCAAACCTTTCTGATTTTTGCAGCGGTTTATGAACTTCAATGGATATCTATTTCCTATTAATGTCTCCGTTTCATTTCATCATCCATTGAGTCTTCCGTACACATACGCTAGGTCCTTTTAAATAGGCAAGTTACCAAACCTTGCATGCATTAGGTTCGACAAAAGCTATGGAAACTGAAGTACTGACCTGTCCAAGTGGGTTTCCCGCAAATCAACCGTTTTATTGAACCATCATTTCTACGACTTAGGAGTATATTCAAAAACGGCAGACGGTTTTCTTTCTCTTCTTCATATGTTAGGGTTATGTTGTTTTGTATGATGGTAAGTCCTTCCAACAAATATGCCGCATCCTCATGCTTGTCACATATCAGGATTATATCATCGACATATCTCTTACAGAGGGTAACTTTACTGATGAGATCACCGGTCAAGCCTTCAATATATGACGTGTAAATATCAGCTAGCAGTGGTCCTAGGAGACTTCCAGTGGCCACGTCATCTTCTTGTCGAAAATGTTCACTTTCAAATGTGAAACGAACTTTATCAGTACACAATAATAACAGCTCTCTCAAACACGTTGAGGTGATAGGGAAAGAATAATTACTGAAAGATATCTGGTCACAAAGAATGTCAATGATTTTGATTAGGGGTACATTAGTAAATAAGGAGTTGACATCAAAAGAATACAACATCTTATCTTTGATATTAATATCCCTAACATAATCAATAAGTTCAAAAGTATCTTCTAAAGAAAACTTATGCAACTCATTTCGAATTAGGAATTAAAGTTTTGCTAACCGTTTCACTATTACTGCAAAAGATTAGGAAGGAAGGAAAGGTACCTGCAGTTTGGAAGAAGGGCTGCCTTGTCAAACTCCCAAAGAAGCGAGACCTGAGTCTTTGCAAGAACTGGCGTGGAATCATGCTGCTGTCCACCCCAAGCAACATATTATGCCACATCATCCTGCAGAGACTAAAGGATGCTCTGGATTCAGAATTACAACCTGGACAGGCTGGATTCAGGAAGTGGAATTCATACGTGGACCAAATTGCAACGCTACGCATCATCACAGGACATAGCATAGTATAGCAGTCAGATCTCAGCCTCAACTTCTTCGACAGCATCGACAGAGAAGTAGTTTGCCAGCCGCTTAAACATTATGGAGTGTCACAAGTCTTTATCAACCTGATTCATCAGTTATATGACGACGTCACATGACACGTGATTCACAATGCAACGGTGAGTGAAGCCTTTGAAGAGAAGACAGGTTGACAAGTGAGACTAGGCTGCCGCCTACTATCACCAATGGTCTTCCTGGGTGTGGTTGACTGCATCATGCAGCAGACCGTGAGGAGCGAGAAGATGGGCATACACTGCCTGGACCGATGAAAAGACCTTAGAAGATTTGCATCTGGCAGATGACGATTTATGTCAAATGTCTTGTCTCACCAACTCGATCTACAGGCGAAAACCAACAAGATGACAGAAGAGGTCTCAAAGACAGGACTTCAAGTGAACGTAAAGGCAGAGGTGATGAAGACAACTAACCACAACTAACAACAAGCATCAATCAACACCAACGGCAGAAACATTAAAGAAGTAGTCACTTCCACATGATTCAACAGGCACCATCGTTTCAAATAAAAGCGGAACAGGCACACATCAGGAAGTCAAAGCCAACCAGCATCGGAAAGACACCAACTCAAGCCTTCATTCATTAACAGTGTGAAGATCCACCGCATTGCACTCAGCATGAGGCGTGAACAACATCCGGACCTCCAACACTACTGATGTCAGTCAAGTCAGTGCTTCTGTGTGATGGTTCAGCAACTTGGCGCATCACGAAGAGCATTTCCAACAAACTACAAACACACATTACATCAACAGCTGCCACCTACTCTCACTGGATACTGAAGATCGAGCAGAAGACCAGAATGATGAGAATGAGCAAGAACGAAATGGCTGGCTGTCTGGCTGCCTGCCTGCCTGCCTGCCTGCCTACCTGCCTGGCAACGAACCAACCAACCAACCAAGAACCCTTCGCCCAACAAATATCCAGAACGATGTGGAGATGGATTTGACAGTTTGGGGATATCACGCATCAGTCCAGTCCAGACAAGGTCGTCGAGTGGAATCTAAATGGGAAACGACGAGTTGGGCTTGCGAGGCGATTGTGATATGGAGTTGATGGTGTGAGGAAGAAAGGAAAGCTTGAGGTCAGTTATGTAGTGAGGTTGAGAAGACTGAAGTGAAGAGAGTGGAATGGTGACGTGCTACTGAACCCCTATTTTCTACTAGGAACCCAAGGGGCAAATAATAATAACCGTTTCACCAACTTATGTGTAGGGAAGTGAAATATGGTTAGTACAGGATGTAATGGATTGATAATTCTATGAATTTTAGGCAATCCATACAAATTAGGTAGCCCAAAGCCCATTGGTTTGAGGGAAGTGAATTCTTCCTTGTTGATAACATTGATATTTAAGAGTTTCACTAGACTAAATATTACTTTGGATTCTAATTTTCTAAGGTCATTCAATGGAACATCAGCCATAAATTTGCTTTGAATTGAATTCCTTTATGTCATAGTTTTCCTTCTCTCCCGTCCAGTTTTCATATATAATGCCTTAGCCAGTAAATATGTGATCAGATTATTCGAAATGTATAGCTGCAATATTTTAGTGATTTTCATTCAATTTAACCGGTCGATTTGTTTTGTTTAAATCAGTTTGACCTAATAGTTACTTGGTATCGTTACCATGAAGAAAAACTTTCATATCTGTTTACTTCTGTATACTTTTTTTAGAGACAATTTGTTCTCAAAACTTTTATCATCGTTTTAACTCAAATGGCAGTTGATTTCCTTTCTCAGTACAAAGTACAATATTCCATTTCATTAACATCAACATGGAGCAAAGAGAACACGTCAATCAATTCAGCTGAAATCAAGTTAGTTTCTGAGATGCAGTTTATCAGATATCATAGAAAAGAGTAAATTCTGAATATAGAAAGACTTCTAATGTTTTTACCTTCGAAATGCTTTTGAATAATTAACAATAAATGATAGTAATAATATATATGGACTAGAATGGGAATCTACGATGTGCGTCTCACCCTACCATCTTGGATTTTTGAGTTGAATGCTCATTAAGACTGGAAACTAACATCAGACACTTAGAACGTTAGAACTTTATATACTAGACCAACGAATCACAGTAACCACTCTTTGTCTGACAGATAACTAAAGCATAAAGTCACTTTTTTCATGCTTTTACTAACAACTGATCAATGAAAGTTTATAATTTTAGCAATATCCTCCTACTGAACCAATTTTAAAAGAAAAAGTGATGTTCTAAGGATATTCTATTTATTGAAAATATAAGCGGTATATTGACTAGACGTCACTGAATAATTTAGTACACTGTTATAACCTGAAATAGCTGAGACTTAGATTACTCATGTATATAATCATATAAACCATAACTATTGAGCAGTGTATGAATTAGAGAGGCATCTGGAGAAGATTTATATTGGTTATTTTAATACATAACACCGATATAAAGGAGTACAGACTGCAAACTTGTGTCAAATGTACAAGTATGTGTTTTCGCTTAAAGATCCTTACAATACTATAAGTAAACATCCAGAAGTGTAAGGTGATGTTTCATAAGCAATGCAAGTGTAACTGATTCATCCTAATATCGAACTACCGAACTTTCTTGAAGTTTAAATCAAAACCGACTCCTAGATCTATTGTTGACAGTCATATCCAGCATTGTCTTTTATACAGAACAGTTTTGAATAGATCTCAACTTCGTGAATGATTTCCCTTGGATGATTTGACGGGATTCGCTTTATTTGAAGATATTTTCCATCGCTGTTTGACATTGGGATAAGACCATTGTTAACGAATAAGGATGAGTTATCTACACAGCGATGATAAAAATGGGGATCGAACCCATGATCTGTCCTCTGATCTTTAAATGAACACATTAAAGACATGGTAAAGGATTATATCTTGTTATTTATTGTTTATTTGATCTCGTGCCTCAGTGGCCTGCCGACTAATGGTTTGACGTTTGAAGTGATGTGTCCTGGGGGTACACCTACATCCGGCTGATGAGTCACAAGTAGGAAGAAAAGCGCTTCCAAAATTCTACAGCTAGCCATTGAGTGAACAATAAGGTTATTTCTTGTACTTGTTTGACTAGGCTATACTATTGGTCTTCATGACGCTGGACCATCAAGTGAGTTGGGCAAATTTCGTCAATCACTTATTTCTTTACCTTATTTAACCTAAAAACAACATGTTGAATTATCTCAATGGATGAATGGCTGCGCTAAATGAATCGAAGATTTCATTCCCTGTTAGCCACATGTTAAGTCTTGCAGAAAGTCTGTAAAAAAGGAAGCAAGGCTAAATGAAAATTTCATTTTATACAGACTTTTTTCATCCTATACCTCCCTGCCATTACATAATATCTATGTCTACAGGGCATTATTAGGATATATGCATTAAATATGACTTTTATGCTTAAGTTACCAAAGAAATTTCCTTGTCAAGCCACTGTTTACCTAAGTATTAAGTAGATAAACAATAGTGGATAGAGTAAATACTTTTTGGATGTGTTTAGTTAACCATGCTACATCCGTTTTTGCGATCTAAATAACTGAATCTATCAGTCTGTGGTGCGAATAGAACACATGTTATATAAAAACCTCAGAAATATATTTTATGGTTGATAAGAGAGTCCATGAGGTATGATACATCAGGTTTAGAAGTCGTCATATTAAATGCTACTTGGTATTTACTGTAACGCTGAGACCTATTTCGAAATAATAAGCTTCATCTAAGATTATGACCTCAGTTTTTTCGATGAATGTTTGAGATATTAGGATCAGAGTTGATTGGGGAGAAACCAACTGGTTGAAGGACTAAAACACGTAGATAAATCGGTTTCGACATAACAACTAACAAGATGATTAACGAAATTCTTTTTCATCTTCAGATAACAGGAACCCCATGGCTAGTTTATACGAAGTAATTTATTGATATTCAATAAATATCATCTGAGAGAAGGCAGCTTTACTCTATCTCTCAACCTAAACTAAAAGCAGGGCAGATGGTGAGAATAATAAATAGATGAGATCAACATTTAGTAACCATGATACTATTGAGATTATGGTCTGGAGTTTGAAAATGCAGGCAGTATCGAGGCATTCGCGCAGGAGTCCATATTACAATAGAGACCTATCAGTTCAATCTAATCAAAGACGAGATAATACAACGAACATCACATTTTGTAATCTGTTCATAAAATGTCTGATAGAATCAAAACATCGTGTAGTCCTTGAAGTGGCCAGTCAGCAGAGATTCAGTTACTTACTGAACTTTTGGCGGGTAAAAGCTTTGAAAATACTTGCTGTTCCCATTATAGATCATATAATGCCGAATTTTATGCGGTTTACAGTTATAGAGGCAAAAAAATGAGATTTCCTTTAATAAATTAGGAGTTATAGTTATAAGTGATTGTCTAAAATCAACAGTTAGAGTTTTTTTAGGAATTAAAATTAGGCGTAAGAGTCTAGAAGGAGTTAGAATTTAGCTTTTTAATTCTACTCGTTTGGAATTAAACCATAAAAAAGTGATAAGGCTAAAAGTATACTCCATTTTCAACATCAATCAATAATCCATAGTGAGATGATAGCTACCTGTCTTCCATTCTTATCCAGAAACCTGCACCCTCATATGTGACAATAGACACTTTCCATAACCCAATTGGTCTATCGGACTAAGTTCAACATGATTTTATACGTGGACTAATTGGTTTACTAATAACGTCTCTACAGCTATATGCGCAGAAAGAGGGAAGATCTCAGTCTCCAGAAACATGTGGAGTTCGATAAATATGATCGTGAACCTTACCGATACATCATAATGATAATAATAACAATAATAATAATAGTGATAGTAATAACTTCAAACTTACCTTGACTAACAATGGACAGGATGGCTTGAAGAAAAAAACAAATATTTTACGTATTATTGCTCAACGTGGATAGGAAGATCTTTTGCAAGATTATGAATCTGACATTAGGTTTTCTCCGCAATAACATTAGTAAAATACACCTTATACGATGAAAAATAGTACGAAAAACTTTATTGTTGAAGGAATTTCGAGAATAGCATATAACATCAGTTGGACAAAACAGTTTTTATGTATCATTATTATTTGTACCTTGGGTTCCTAGTGGAACATAGGGGTTCAGTAGCACGTCACCATTCCACTCTCTTCACTTCAGTCTTCTCAACCTCACTAAATAACTGACCTCAAGCTTTCCTTTCTTCCTCACACCATCAACTCCATATCACAATCGCCTCGCAAGCCCAACTCCTCGTTTCCCATTTAGATTCCACTCGACGACCTTATCTGGACTCGACTGACGCGTGATATCCCCAAACTGTCCAATCCATCTCCACATCGTTCTGGATATTTGTTGGGCGAAGGGTTCTTGGTTGGTTGGTTGGTTCGTTGCCAGGTAGGCAGGCAGGCAGGCAGGCAGGCAGGCAGGCAGGCAGGCAGGCAGGCAGGCAGGCAGGCAGGCAGCCAGCCAGCCAGCCAGCCAGCCAGCCAGCCAACCAGTTCCTTGTTGCTCATTCTCATCATTCTGGTCTTCTGCTCGATCTTCAGTATCCAGTGAGAGTAGGTGGCAACTGTTGATGTGATGTGTGTCTGTAGTTTGTTGGAAATGCTTTCATGATGCGCCAAGTTGGTGAACCATCACACAGAAGCACTGACTTGACTGACATCAGTAGTGTTGGAGGTCCGGATGTTGTTCACGCCTCATGCTGAGTGCAATGCGGTGGATCTTCACACTGTTAATGAATGAAGGCTTGAGTTGGTGTCTTTCCGATGCTGGTTGGCTTTGACTTCCTGATGTGTGCCTGTCGAATGAGTTGGAAGTGACTACTTCTTTAATGTTTCTGCCGTTGGTGTTGATTGATGCTTTTTTTTGTTGTTGTTGGTTGGGTCCTGTGTAGTTTCGTCAATCACTTTCTGTTCTGAGTGCTGTACTTGAACTATGGCCTTCTATCACCCAATTCTGTGTAGGCTTTCAACTTGATTTTGAAAGCTGCTTACCCTAGATAGTGAGTGGTGTGAACCACCTACATATTCTCCTCTTCTTGATCTGGTTTTGTGTTCAGTGGGCTACGTCTTCACTTTATTCAGATTGAAGTGGAGTTGATCTGAAGTGATTTTTTTATGTGTACGCCTTTCGAAATTCATGTCGCATTTTGAATATACTTGTGTTTGTACACACTGCCTCCAAACGCCAAATCGTCGAATACACAGAGGTCTGCAAACAGTTTTCCATTCTCATTCATCATTTCACCAAGTGCTTTTCGACCCATTATTGGTTCTCTTCCTATGTTATCTGCTCCCAGTTTGGCAGTCTTATCACGCCGTCGACTAGAATTTTGAGGTCGCCAACTGGGGTGGGTTCTTGTCCAGTACTGATTCCAGTTGTTTGTAGAATTTCTCCTTTATTTCCTGATCTGCATTATTTGTAAGTGCGTTGAGTACGTAGCATTGTATGATTGTGACTTTCCTCCCTTTTGATTTGAATCTTTGTCTAATGATCCTGATCCTAGAGGAGGTTGGTTCCCACTGCATGAGAGCCTTCGATGCCGCTGGGGACATTATGATAGCCACTGGATAACTCAGTGTGCTGTACTCGTGGTTGTCATCTGGGTGACAATATTGGAGTAGATTATTGACTCGTCTCCAGTTGACAGTTTGAAGAGTAGACTTCCATTCCATCTGCTTATCCCTCACAGATTCTTAGCGCTTCTGTGCTATGCCTCCTCATCTCATTGGCAATCTGGGCAGCCTTGCCAGCCAGCCAGCTTCAAACATTGTGCGGACGTACCATGTCCCGATGTTTACTTTTGCTCTCATCGAGAGAGAGAGAGATGATACGTCGGCCAATTGGCTTTCCGAAAGCTTTCACGAACCGTTGTCATTTCGTCTAACCGATCTCATGAGGAATAAGTTTAATTTTATGTATTTTATATTTTCTTTGTGCTTAGAAGTTTGTCTAGCGATTGGATTTGTTTTATGGATAAGGGTTGCTAGCCGTATGCCCCACCTTCCCTCTTTATGTGGGCTTAGGACAGGCAAGTAACTAGTGAACTAGTTATCTAGTTGAGGAGTTTATATGTATGCATAGTAAAATTGAATGAATAGTTATTACATATAAAAAGGATACGATTATTTACTCCATCCACAACGTTTCTGTAAATGCCCAGTTAACTTAGGTAGACAATCTAATTAACAGTTAGATTTGTAATGCATAAATAGCAGCACATGGATAGTCTTAATTGGTTTACTTTCAGAAAAACAAAAGTTAATAAGGTCGTTCCTTCCTGAAACTCCCATCTTCTCACAGGATATGAGCCAAATATGGTTTTGTAGAATTTTTATATTTAGTAGTACATGCATCAAGTTCCAAATACTCGCTCTTTGTTTTGCCTGACTGCCAATAGGTAAAGAGCTTTGAGTGAAGAGCACACTGACCATTTAATAAATAACTCCTCCCAAATTTCTACATGAATTAAGACGTTTGTCCACAGCAGTTTCAGTTAGTAGGTTTAGACGTACACCAATTTAGTTCTACTGAAATTGTTCAAAGTTATGTGCAATACACCAAAGTCTTTTTTCAGCAATCTTGGAAAGAATACAGGGAACAATAGAGGCGAACAAACAGGATGCAGATGTTTATAAAACACAAGCGGAGAGACTGAGTTTTACCAGATACTCTCAGCTTCCTAAAATGGAAAGTTAGTCAGAAAATTCTTTTGGAAGTTAGTGAGATATGGGAGGACTAAAATGGATTCGAATAAAAACATACCCAGATAAATCAAACTTGTAACATTCTTTAACATGCAGTAATCAATAGAACGGGAATCATGAAACGTAAGCAGTTTACATAGGTTATGTTTTGTGTCTGAAACTAAAGTTTATATTCTGCCACTTTTCACAACTAAGCACAAAACCATTCAAAGAGGACCAACCATTCCACCTGGTATTACTAAGGTTGCTAAAAGGATCAGATTCATTACTAATTAAACACAACTCAACATAAACTAAATCTGCCACCTTATTTCAAAGACCATATGCGACTAGGGGGTCAGGTAAATGAAGTGGCTAATCAGAGACCATCTGAAAGCAGCGACACCGCAGTTGCCTGACAAAATCGATGAGACTTATGGTCATGTTGATGTATTACTAAGCTACTTATGTTGCACGTTTCATTTAGTAGATTGTACCAATTCTCCAAACTTTATCAATGGAAATTCCATCAGTAAATCATCTAGACCAGGCAATTTGCATAGATGAAGTGAAACAGTGTTCTAAAGTTTTACGTAGGTGAATGTCAACCTACTAGTTCTCAATTGTTAGTACAGTTTTCACTCAGTAATTCATCAGTGTTTTTCTTTTTTTTCCACTGGCACAAATCAGGATAATGGATTCTCTGCACAGAGATCAGAAAAACAGTGAAATTTATTATGACCTTGGTGAAAATTTGAAATTTGGAATACAAGATCCAGTCGATGACCAAAAACTCCTACAAACTGTTCTGTATACAGGAAAACCCACACATTTATTCATAAATTTTTACCATCACAATAGTAAGTTGAATATTGTTTATTTTCTCATAATAAAACCCCATGACCAGACTTACTACTTGTAAGCAACTTAATAGTAGTACGATACTATCCTTTCTGGCGACAAATTCAGTGATGCAGATGAAATGAAATCCGTAAATATATTCGACAAAACATGGAGTAACTAGGAGTATCTTTCGAAATCCAAAACAGTCATCTATGAGTTGATGCTTTCTTCAAAGTAAAAATAATACTGTAGCGTACTAAGGAGGTAGAACTCAGCTGTATATTGGCAGAATGTTTTACTGTGGTCAAAACATTTCCTGGATGATTACCAACGCTGAAAGCAGAAACAGTAATGTGTTTTGGTAGTACTAGGAAGGTAAATGAAATGGCTAGCGGTCTTCTATATTCACGGGATTATCATAACCTTTGCAAACCCGTCACTCATATTCAAAACGGTTTCACAGAGAGGTCAGATGAATGGTGGTACTAGTTCTTCATTGGTGTCGCATCCAAAGTTATCACCCTTAAATGCAATGAAATGCTTTTGAGTACTCACACCTTTATCAAGCCAAAGTATGAATATCTCTAGAAGCAGTATAACACGATTGTAGGTAAATAAGCGTCCGCAGATGACCGACCTTCAACAAATCGCTTAAGTAATCTAAGAATGAACCAACTTGGGCTCCGTGGCATGTTGTGAATCTAAAAGTTTTTATCACACATGTCACATAGTTGTACAGTATTATTTACTGCCTAACGTTTCAGATAAAATTTGTTTTCGATATTCCTGTCAGAGTGACTCCACAACTTTGAAATATGGCTTACATAGCTGTGATTCTCCTCTCACCTTTGTGACAAAAGTAGCAAAATTTCCCAGGTAACTGGAACAGATGACGAGTCATTTCTGCTGTACTTTCCACTCACTGAGTTGATAAACAAAAATTCAGTGATCACTGTCATGTTTTTATTCCTGAAGTACTATTTGATTAAAGTACTACTCTTATTATGTATTCAGTGGTCCATTACAGAAACGAAAAATACTGTTTGAATGAGGAAGATGTAATAAAAGGCGTAAATCTGTGAACCGTTGGACGCTTCAAGATCTTTGAGTAAATGTTGTCCATCCTCTCAAGACCTAATGTTTGCTTTCCGTTACAGTCGTCATTGAGATGATGGAGAATATTTTTAGCTCAGGGGGATGATTTTGATAGTGCTGTATTCTCTAGGGTCGATGGTTTAAACCTGAAGCTTTCAGCCTTGGAAAACAATATATCCGAGGTGACAACAAGATTACTGAAGCCTGTTGGAATCACTGTAGCTCATAAGCCCACAAAATCTCTTCACTTTGTGTTATGTAGGCAATACAATCTAAAGGAAGACGGATCAGAAGTTATCTACAAACTGGAGAAACTGAGAAAAAGACTATATCAAACAGAATGTTCACCGTCTTGGAATCTGTCTACATGAACTTCAACTAGCAATCGAGCGTTATGATATATCTTCATTCATATCAACACATAAAGACAGTTTTGGAGATGAATTCGACTGGTAAAATGTTGAAGTCCTGGGTAAAGGAAGGTAAAGAATGCCAGAAAGTTCCAACCAGCTTGGCGCTTAGGTCAGTTAACTATCAACAGACACATCGGTTTTGACCAGATCCGTCAACCAATGGGAAGTAAAGGAGACAAAAAAGAAGGTCAAAGTTTTCTTCGAAAAGACAACCAATAGAAATACGTAAGGAGACAATGACAAAACCTTGGCAGAAACAATCATTCAGAGCCAATATCATTGAAACGAACTAGTGAACCACTTGTGGAGAAAACTCCATAGCTCACTACTTTCTAAAGTCTGTTCTCGTGGCGTGTTATAGAATGATAATGATAGCTTGATGATTAAACCATCTAGCTTAAAGAACACAAGACCATCAAAAAAATACATTTCACAATGCATGATTTATTGCGCTTTCGCATAGACTTCAATAATAACATGAATTGTTCATTAGATGGCAACTGATTTAGCTATCGATTCTTAACTATTTGGTAGTAATCAGATTCTACAGAAGATCAGTCGCAATCCAATTAGCTTAACGGTGAACTTTCTTACTCCATAAGAGAACAGTTGTCCTTAGGGTGCAAATGAGTCCCAACAAGCACGAATTTCATGTCAATAACTTCCTAATAATCATCTCTTAAATAATAAACGGTATCTTTTCACTTACCTCTAATTAGCCTCAGTGACTTCTGAAAATGCAGCAAATACTGACTTACTGTAACTGCCCTGTAACATGTGAGAAAAAGATAAATTACACTAATTTTCACAACTTCCAAGAACCTGTGACGGGGAGAGTAGATTCTTCCTGTCGCCAAGCATCTTTTAAAACATACTGACACGTTTATGTGGTGAACAAAATGAACAAAATAAAAACTGAGTTGAAGTATGAGGTTTGTCAAATTAAAACCAAAACTGACCTTGATTCAATTTGGAGGTTTATGAGAATTTACTGATGTCAAGTGACTCGCGGTATCCGGTATGTTGTCATGTAAGTTAAGTGTGGCGTGACTGCCACTAGTAATCATTATTTAGTTTAAATGGTGTGTTGAATAATTAATTTTGAGCGTAATTCTAATTAATCTTTACGTTTGTTGTAACATTTTCTATATCTATTCGAATGAAATATTTACCACCAGTGTCATTCGCGCCAAATAAAGTTTATATAGCAACATCCTGGGTACCATCAGTCTCTTGGGATCACAGTAACCCATTGGGTTCACATGAAAATCACGCCAAAAAACCTGAAGGATCACAAACGTGCTCTTTAAAGCAGACATTTTCGAATATTTTTCCGATGTACTTTCAAAGCTGGAAGGAATACTTATCAACTAGTTCTTTTCTATTTTCTCTGAACAGTCTCCTATTTGGTATCAGTTTCTTTTTGATACATTTTGGTGACTCATTTTATTATACAAACCGTTTATTTGAATTTTAGAGTCCTACAAATATCTGGGTATCGATCAATGTTCAATGTCCGAGTTGTTGCCAGATACAAGGCCACACGAAACTATAATTGTGCAAAGAAAGTAAGTAATTGAATATAACTGAAGTGATTTAAGATGATAGCCTTGATTAGAAGATCTATAATTTGTAAAGTTGCTACATCAGAGAGATGCGGTATTTTAAGTATTTACGCCTTGAGATGCCTATCGAAGTAGCTGAAGATTTGGTATATGATCCATAAAGATACCTGTGATACATACACAGTGCTAGTTACCTTAACAGATGAAAATAATTACCAATAATCAATGGCGAAAACCTTTAAAGTTAAGACAGGAGTAAAACAAGGCTGTCTACTCTCATCCATGATCGTCCTGATCGTGGTGGACTTGTTCATGCAGCAAACTGTGAGGAGCGAGAAGAGAGGGACACGCTGGACCAAGGAAACGACCCTAGAAGATTTGGATTTCACCGATGACTTGTGTCTAATGCCACACAAACTTGAAGATCTACAGGCAAAAACCAACAAGTCGTCAGAAGAGGCAGCGAAGACGGGACTTCAAGTGAATATAGAGAAGATGAAGATGAAGATACCCAACCAACACCACCACCAACAAACTCCAATCACCATCAAAGGGAGGAACCTAAAGGAAGTAGCCTCTTTCACCTACCTAGGCGGCACGGTCTCAACTGCAGGCGGCACAGGCACAGACGAGGATGTTGAAACCAGGGTCGGAAAAGCAAGAACAGGTTTCACCAATCTGAAATCACTATAGAGATCTAATGCACTCAGCACAAAGAAAAAGATCCAGATTTTCAACACTAATTCAGTCAAGTCAATGCTTCTATGTGGTTCAGAGACTTGGCGCATTATGAAAAGTATTTGCAAAAAACTGTAGATATTCGTCAACAACTGCCTAGGCTGGCTTGATACTGAAGTTCAGATCAGATGGCCAGAATAATGAGAATAAGCAAGAAGGAACTCACTCTGGGAACGAACCATCCAAGAACCTATCACTCAACAAATATGCAGAAGAAAGTGGAGGTGGAGATGGATTGAGTATGCACTGAGAAGACCATTCGGGGACATCACGCTTCAGGCAAGGCCATCGAGTGCAACCTAGATAGGAAACGACGAGTTGGGCGTCCGAGATGAGGATGATATGGAGATCATGTGAGGAAGAAATGAGAGCTTGTGGGGTGTTGTGGAGCCAGGTTGAAAAGATTGTAGAGAAGAGAGTGTGATGAAGGAGTGCTGCTGAAGCCCTACGTTCCACTATGAACCCAAGGGACAAATATAAGATAATAATAATAATAATTAATGATGAAAAAGTTAGTTAACTTCAGTACTACTTAAATTACAAAACAGTAATATGAGGGACAAGAAGTTTTTCCGCATACAGTGGTGAAAATTCGTGAATTTCACTTTCGTTTGCAAATACTTCATTGAGTTTTGTGTACTTTCAGACGCACTTTACGTTGACAAAGGTATCAAAATTAAACAGACGTCAGTTCCAACAATATCTTTAGTGCACCTTTGCAAAGACGTGAGATTGTGTTATCCTTTATAAATAATTAGGAAGGTGATCACAGCTGGGTTGATTGGTGAACAGCATATCGACTGAGATATTTCTTCGTCATTAACCTGTCTAGTTAAATATGATTGACTTGATAATTGATTACTGTTTGTTGGTTAAGACAATTAATCTGTGTTCTTTTACTGAGGGTGTTAACATTGGTTGGGTAACTATTATTCCTAGATAATTTGGACTAAATTCTTTTCGTTGTGATATTTAGAATGTTTTCATGTCTACATTCTTCGTAGAGGTTGGCTAACAAATCACGAAATTATTATATTCCCTGCTGTTCAGCTAAGTAATATTCACGTCTAATCGACTGAATTTATCCTTGGTGATGGTGAGAAATTTCGAGTGGCGCTAAAAAGAAGAGTGTTCTATGCCACCATTCACTTTCTTCTACTGTGTAACTGTCAATAAGTCAGTCATCATCAACACCTGATCTTCAATGGCCCCAATGACCGATGCCATGTTTTCGTCGGTTCACCTCTAACGTTAACCCAGCCTGAAACTACTACAGCGAACACTATGTGACAAGCTAGACGATGACTAGGCACGGGTGATACGAATCTCAGCCAGCTGAGCTAATGAAGCTTCACAACCTCGGTTAATATAACTTTTTTTAAATACCTAAGGAAGATGAAAACAGTTTGTGTAGGCAGCTGTAGGGCGTTAACCACTGTCACAACCCTATCAGTATTCAAGTTGATTCTGCCCACCTTCGACGTTCCACTATGTGGATATTGAAGTTGATGGACTAGAAAAGATTTCAGGTGTTCAACCACTACCGCTTTCTCTTCATACATCGTATGTTGTGGTATCAGCACGTCACGAGTACAGTTTCAAGCAGAAGGAGTAAGACAGCTGATGGGGTTGTGAAACTACATCACCCCACTTGCCTCGAAAATGCTTCACGTGTGCTTAGTCATCGTCTACTCCGTCAAACAATATTAGCTGTAGTTGTTTCAGGCTAGAGAATAAGTTACAGGTAGGCTGATTAAAACATGGCAACAGTCACTGAAGTCTTTGACTGTTGCTTTAGGCCTTGTAGGGGAATGTAGAATTCTCGATTTCAATGCTAGTGACAACTGAGGTCGACACTTCCGGACAGTGGCACAGATTTATCTGCAAATTATCATCGTCTTGATAGGCATTTCGACTTTCGCTACTGTTTCTCTACTTCTTCCACTAAGCTTATGGCTTTTAGCACTGTGGCTCGAAATTAATCCCCATTTCATTTCTTTTCTAGAATATTGTTGCCTTGTATCCTGCCCGACCTACAGCTGCTACCTCGATGCAGTGGTCTGCCTTGCATATAACAGTGACCCAACAAGCTACAGTGGTGCTCCTCCGAGATTCTACCGTATCAGGAAGGTCTATTAGATAGTGGTTAGATGAAAAGTAGTTACCTTTTTAGTGGGAATTACTACACTACGAGAGGGGTAGGAGGACGAAGTTGTACTGCTGCTACTGCATAGAGTGTGACAGCAGTAAGTTTTCTCCACTGGATGAGCAGCAGTGCCACACCTATGCTACCTTCTCAAAAGATAGGGGGATTGAAAAGGTCGGTCGCAAAAACAATACACCACTATGCTCCACGGTCTCCCGGTGACGGCAGCATGGGTTCTCTCTATCTGGTGTTAGGACAACTGAATCTCAAAACAATAACTGACAAAAGGCTATGTGAGAAAAACCCCAAGCAGATGTCATATTGGCCCTGCGGTCACATAATTCTTTTTCTTTGTCAATTACCTTAAGAAAAAATATGCTTCCACGGAATGATCAGTCGGGACACGCCAACTGTTGGCATACTTCCATTAAATTTCAAGACTCAATCAAACCTAACCCATCTCTCTCAAATCTGCCTCCTTCTTTGCCTTCACCTCCTCATACTAATATTAAGCTTCTCACAGATTCCTCAACCTTTCATTCTGCAACCACTGTGAACGGTCAAAGCCATCTTGACCTCATTCCTAGTCTGTTAAGACCCAGCTATCGATTTCATGTATAAACTTTCAAATTTGAAACTCTACACCAAATTGGAAACCAAATATTGACTGACAAAACTCTAAAATCTCGAGCCACGGATGTGTGCCGTGTCTCTGAGACACTCATACAGGACCTGAGTGTTGTTATTAAACTAACCTCACCTAGTCATTGCAGTCAATCTTCAAAATTCTTGTTAAAATTATCTGGAGATCCAATATCTACCTCTCATGGAGTCGATGGTGTAGGCAAGACATTGAACTGTAGGGCAGAAAGTGTACTTCCCGACTGGATGATAGCTAACAGCAGTCTATGTTCCATTTGACTGAATGGAACTGTAAAACCAGTAAGGGTCGTGAGACTAAATGATAGCTGTTAGTAATCCCTGCCTAAGCACCCATCGATTGCAGTTTGGATGATGCAAAGGATGAATTTTATCAGAAGCTGTCAATTTTGCTACAGAAAGCAAAACTTTGACATATAATCGTTATGGAATGTGACTTCACCGATACAGTGAAGAAGCTGAGCCAACAGGAAAGGCATGTGGACAGTATTTACACAGTCCAATGCCAATGATAGTCATCTGTTGGAATTTCGCTCCAACAACCCCTTGTTTCTAGCCAGCACTAACTTTCGGCATAAAGAGAGATACTGTTTCACATGGCGTCCGCCAACCTCAAACCAACGATGGACATAGATAGATCACATTGTTATTAGCCATCATTGGAAAGGATCGATGGAGGATTGCTAGTCTTTTTGTACTACCTGCTTGGACTTCGATCACGCGCTAGTACAGGCTTGTGTATATCTGCACCTTGCTAGCCGCAGAAAAGAGGTGGTAGCGAAACCTATCCACTTTCGATTGGAAGATAATAACATCAAGTATAAATTTAGGGAGGAGTTAGCTAAACACTTACCTGAACGTGACAGCAATTCTTATCCTAAGGAAACCTAGGGTGATATTTCGTTTGCTGTAGAAAGGCGGTAAAGATAATTGGTAATATATACACGGAGATTCACAAACGTCATTTGATTTCCGCAGCGTCATCCGAACTGACTGATGCACGAAAACTGATTCCAGCTGGCTCTCACCTAGATGAAGAGTCAAAGTAACTCACACGCAAGTTGACCGAGAGTCTTAGCGCCAACCGCCAGCAGTGATGGGTGGCAAAGCGAAAGCTTTGAGTAACACTCGGGAATTATTTAGGGTTACCAAGGATAGTAGCAAGAAAAAGACGATGCTGAATGGAACCATTACCGAAAAGGATGGAATGCTGATAACCTCCCAGAACAGGGGGCTATGACAATGGGTAGAATATTAATCTGTTTATTAGAAATATCACACAGTGAAACAGTAGCATTTACTGGATAACGTTTCGGACACAATTTACTGTCCATATTTATACCTGATATGAATATGGACAGCAAACTGTATTCTGAACGTTATCCAGTAAAAACTACTGTTTTACTGTGTGACATTTCTGATAAACAGACTAAAATGGAATTACAACAGACCACAGTGC